GAAGGAAGGAATGAAGGGAGTAGAAAAAGGAAGGAAAGGTAAAGGAGGGAGGGAGGGAGGAAGGGAGAGAGGAAGGAAGGAAGGAAGGGAGGAAGGAAGGAAGGAAAGAAGGAAGGAAGGGAGTAGAAAAAAGGAAGGAAAGGTAAAGGAGGGAGGGAGGAAGGAAGGAAGGAAAGTGACAGAAGAAAAGGAAGAAAGGAAGGAAGGAAGGAAGGAAGGAAGGAAGGAAGGAAGGAAGGAAGGAAGGAAGGAAGAAAGGAGACAAGGTGAAGGAAGGGACCGAGGAAGGAAATAGAAAAAAGGAAGGAAAGATATAGGAGGGTGGGAGGAAGAAAGGAAGGAAGGAAGAAAGGAAAGAGAAAGGAGGGCGGTAGAAGGAAGGAATGGAAGGAGGAGGAGGAGGGAAGGCAGAAAACGGAGAAGGAAGGAATGGAGGAAAGTGACAGAGAGAAGGAAGGAGAACGGTGAAAGAAGGGAAGAAGGGAGGGAGGAAAGAAGGAAGTAGAAAAAGGGAGGATGGAAGGAGGGAAGGAAAGAAGAAGGAGGGTGGTAGAAGGAAGGGAGGGAGGTGGGAAGGAAGAAGAAGAAGAAGGGAGGAAGGGAGGAAGATGACAAAGAGAAGGAAGGAAGGAAGGTCAAACTGAGAAAGGTGGCCTGTGTAGGCAGACATTTAAGGCCCAAAGCAGCCCTTGAGCCCCTCTTGAGGGCCGGGGCCTTCCAGCACCCCCCCCAAAGCAGACCCTGGCATCCCCCCCCCACCTTCTTGAACTCCCGGACGGGCACAAACTGCACGATGTCCCGGACGGCCCTGCCCTCCTCCGTCTCCAGCATCCCTCGGTCCCCGTTCAGCTCCCGCATGTTGGAGAAGTCGGCGTTCCCGATGCCCACGATGATGATGGAGAGCGGCAGGCGGGAGGCCCGCACCACGGCGTCGCAGGCCTCGGGCATGTCGCTCACCACCCCGTCGGTCAGGATGAGCAGCACCCGGTACTTCTGCAACAGAGGCAGGGGGGAGAGGGTCTCAAGGGCCACGAGGGGGACACCAGGCGAGGACCCCCCCCTTGGCCCTTTTGGCCGGGGTCAGGGGGGGTCTTAGGTGTGTCCCCCCCTCCCTCCCTCCCTCCCGTACCGTGGGCATGCCACTTTTCTCCTCCTCGGCTGCCGGCCCGGCCACCTTGCCGATGATGGGCGCCACGTTGGTGGGGCCGTACAGCTCGATCTGGGGCAGGCAGCGCTTGTAAGCCTCGATCACGCCCAGAATCTCTGCCAGGGAAGGAAAGAAACCGAGATTGCAGACCGGGTTGTGTCCCTGGGCCGCGTAGGTGTGTGCGCGTGTGTGTGGGGCGAGGTGTATATTTTATTTTATTTGCGTCACGTTTATGCAGGGTATGTTGGAGGTGGTTACCCTTTGAGAGCCGTGTGAAACAAAATCTCATCTTAATGTAGGCTGATTAGCGTACGTTTAAAGTGACAATAAAGTTTTTCTTTATTTCCCTTTCCTTTCTTTCTTTCTTCTTTCTTTCTTCTTTCTTTCTTTTTCTTTCTTTCTTTCTCTCTCTCTCTCTCTCTCTCCCTCCCTCCCTCCCTCCCTTAATATTTCCTCTTTTTAAAATTCTCCTTTTCCTTCCTTCCTTCCTCCCTCCCTTAATATTTCCTCTTTCTAAAATTCTCCTTTTCCTTCCTTCCTTCCTTCCTTCCTTCCTTCCTTCCTTCCTTCCTTCCTTCCTTCTCCCTCCCTCCCTTAATATTTCTTTTTAAAATTTTCCTTTCCTTCCTTCCTTCCTCCCTCCCTCCCTTAATATTTCCTCTTTTTAAAATTCTCCTTTTCCTTCCTTCCTTC